AATACTCAGTAAGGGACTAAGTCTCTAACCTTGTACTTTACTCAATTGGTCACTTTATACATGCATGTCTCGACCTTATCACATACGGATTTCACATAAAACTTAGAGAAGACAACTTAAAGTAATTATCATTATACCATATTCATCATACAACTTAGTCATCATTTTTCAATCATAAAACAACTTAAACATCACATTAAAATCATGTGACTTGTGCTCAATGCCATCCCTTGGAAGTCCGGTGTCGTCGAGGTAAAGGGCTTTTTGTCTTGCTTGTGCTCAGCACCAAACTACTCACGCTCGACATGGGGAGGCAAAGGGTCTCCTACTCTATCGTGCCTAGTGTGGCAAAATCCCATGCCCAAACCTTAATCAGGTAGAGGGCCTTTGCCTGACTCATGTTCGACATCACTCCATTAGTGCTCGATGTCAATTAAAACGATTCTCTCTTCTCACATCCAACACCATTCAAGCTAATGCCCAATGTGGCCAAGATAAAGGTGATTCTACCTCCCCACATCCAACGCCACCAATCCTGTCTGGCGTGATGTGGTTGAAAACCCTTGATTTCAAGTCACACCTAGCGCCATGAAGGTGTACGTGCTTGTCGTGATACCAATTTTTGCACTTATGTAGAAACTTGATTTGCCCAATCTACTTGAAACTCATAAATACACTAACATGCAACATATCATACAACATCTAAGCACCACAAACAACTCGAAAACAACATCATTTATAACATGCAACCACTATAAAATCATAAATGATCACATCTCTTTCCAAACACAACCAAAATCTCCAACACCACATATTCATCATCTCATCCAAATTTTCAATCGAAAACAACCATCAATAATGGAATCAAACAACAAATCATCAACATGTAATCCAACAAAATCAAACACAAAGTTTTCCTTACCCCAACTCCCAGCACAAGAGAAGGACAAAGAAAAGGAAGAACTTTGGGTCACCATACGACTTCCACCAGCTTAGATTCTTAGCATCAAATCTTGAATCTTTGGCTTAGTCACTTTAAATCAGCTATAGGAAAGGTAGAAGGAAGATTTTCAATAGAAAAGGGAGAAGATAGATTTTGCTCTTAGAGAACTTCACTTTAACTTTTCTTAAAACTTAAACTTATGAGATTCATGTCTTAAGAAAAATCTTAAATACCCTTCCTTAAGTTAAACTAACTTAACTTTGACTCAATTACCTTAGAGACAACTTAACTCTCAAAGTCTCTTGACTTCAAAGTTCTCAAACAACAACACTAGCAACAACTTAGAAACAATCATATAATTCATACAATTAATTAAAACACCTTAAAAAGTGTTGGGATACAAACAAGTCTCACATCGATAAAATAAGAAAATAAATAACAACTTATATAACATAGACATACTTCAATGATTGAGAGGCCTTTTGGGTGATGACCAAAAATAAAATCGTTAGGGCTTAGGCCCAAAGCGGACAATATTTCATCATTGTGGAGTATGTTTCTGCTGCATGCAAGGTTAGGTCTCTTGTTTGGGGGGAGGATTGTTGGGATACAAACAAGTCTCACATCGATAAAATAAGATAACAAATAACAACTTATATAACATAAACATACTTCAATGATAGAGAGGCCTTTTAAGTAATGACCAAAAGCAAAACCGTGAGGGCTAAGGCCCAAAGCGGACAATATCTCATAATTGTGGAGTATGTTTGTGAAATAACCTTATAAAAAAACAACCTTCATAAAATATCCCCTCAGACAAATACCATAAAATACCCCATCAAAAAGAATAATGTTACAATATAAATAAAAAAATTAAATATATTTAATATCCGAAAACATAAAATATTTAATATTTTTCTCCACTAACAAATAAGAGAATTTGTAAAATTATAAGAAAATACAAAAATTATTATTGTTTTTATATTCTCTCTCGTCCTTATTATATAACACTATTTAGAAAGAAATAGTGATTCTTTTTATAAGGCAATTTACAAATTTCACAAAACATTAATTGTATTTTTCATTTTTTACTCTTATTAAAAATTGTGAAAATATGTGTTTCTTGTTGTTGGGTAATGAGAAGAGAATTAGAGAAACAAATGTTTTTTCTATCACATTCTAAACTCTCTTATTATCATATATTGTATCAATTTTATTGTATCGATACATAATTTTTGATATAAAATAATATTTTTACTTTTCTCATGAAAATGATAGGTAAAAAATGAAAATCGATACATCATGATTTTGTTTTATAAATTCAAAAAAGATCAACATACATAACCACATATATTAGTTTGTGTGATTCTATTAAAAATTTCTTATAATAATCCAAAGAAGTATATAAACATTCTTTCAATCTTGACATACTCCCTTTGTTCTCTATTATAAACAACAAAATACACACATTTTTTTTTGTTCTTAATTATAAGTAGATTTTAACTATTTTTTGTTTCATTTGGTGATATTCACTCTAAAATATCCCCTTTTTTATTCTATATTTGGTTGGTTGGATGGAAAATAAAAGAAAAGAAAAAAAAATTGAATTTCAAATTAAAGGAAAAGTAGAAGGAAAATGAAAGTTAAATTTTTGTCCACGAAAGTCAACTTTTTTCCCCCTATTTTCTATTCACTTTCTCTTCAACCAAATAAAAGAAAATGATTTTTTTTTAATTTTTCTTTCATTTTTATTTTATTTTCTTTCTTTCCATTGTTATTTCTTTCGAACATAGGATAAATATATGTCCTTTCAATTATATTATTTTTTTCATTTATAATAAGGATAATTTTTTAAAAAATATATATTTTAGAGCAAGTATAAAATTTAATATAAATAATTAATTTTCTTAATATATGTGAAATTATTTTTTTATAATAAAAAAAAATGTAATGTATTTCGTTTACTTGTGAGGTTTACTAGTGTGGTCCGTCAATAGCTAGATTTAAGAAATGTCTTTATTACTGACAATAAGTACACCGGAAGGTCAACTTTTGCAAAAACTGTGGCTTAGGGGCTAGGGCATTTAGCCACCTACTGTAGTGGCTCACATAATTTAGAGTATTTAATATTTTATACTCCCAAATGCTTTTCTAACATTATGATAATGTTCTAAAACAAATGATGTTTTAATTTTTCAAAATTTAATATTGATTATTATTTTTAAATTTTTTATAAATTATTTAATTATTATGCTTTAAAATAATGTATTTATTGAGAAGATAGATTACTTTAATAAAATTGTATTAAAAATAGTATATTTATTGTTATCTTTAATTTGTATGTATAAGTTATAAATTGTAATTATTGTGAAACGGATGGGGTAATATTTTATATTTTTTAAATAACTCAAAATATTTTTATTGATCAAAGAAACACTTTACAGATACAAAATTTTAAGAGGAACGGTTGTTTTTTTTTTTTTTTCGCACTAATCTCTTAGTTTGAGGCACTTCAAAGAATGGGACAGCTAGCCCCAAAATTTAACGGAGCTGCATACACAAGACAGGATTTGAACCCCTGACATTGCTTAAGCGTGGATCAACCCCTACCACTGAACCACACGCTTTAGGTTAGAGGAATGGTTGTTTAGTTTAACAGCTCTCTATTTTTCTCAATTTCTCTCCAAGGATGCCCTTAATTACTTCTATTTTTGGTGTCTAAGCTTCTCATCATAGCCTGATTTGCTGGTCCGTCCACACAATTAATCTAATAAAAATTTACATATTGTTTTGCCCATTTTTTAGATTTTAATTATAATACATTATTTTAGTATTTATGTTTAAATTTTATTAAAGAATCTGTCCAATATTATTACATAAAATATACTTATTAATATCTCTGTTAGTAAAAACATCACACTAAATCTAATAGATATTACATTACTTTTCAATCTGTTACTTTTAGATATGTTATTAATGACTTAAGAGATTAAAATAAGAATTTTAAAAATTATAGAGATTAAAAATAATATTTTTAAATTTGAGGGGTTATAAATAAATTTATCTTAAATTTAATAGATTAAAAATATATTTAAGTCAATTTCATAGTATCAATTAATAAAAAATATTTTAAACATAATTTTTGGATAATTATCATACATGTCAACTTATTATTAAGGGTGAAAATAAACTACATGATCCATCGATACTAGAGTAGAAGATAATATAATTGATGAATTGTGTAGTATTATACTCAAAATCATATTTTTTTTTTGTGTAAATTTTTAGGCTTGCAGATAGTGCCAATAGATCCTAACTCTTTTTTTTTTTTTTTAATATAAGTCAACATGTCTAATATTTATAAAAACAAATAAATGTATGATTTTAATACATTATAATATATTTGATGTAATAATAATAATAAATATTTTTTATTTTATTTAAATAAGTTTACCTAATAGGCCTAATAATTTTTTTAAATGATTTAAAAGTTCAATCCTTTTAACTAAATAAAAAACCTTGGTGTGGTTTACTTTTTAAATAAAGTTTGGCCTAAACTTGATGTAAAATAGGTCAGAGACTCCATGTTGAATGAATTAATCAACCTATTTTCACCTCTACTTACCATATATGATACTCAGTGTAAAAATAATTTATATTGTTGGTGTATTCGGTGTATTCTAATTATTTTTTAATCTCAAAAAAATTAAGTTTAGAGTGAAAATACTATAATTATTCTAATTAAATTCTTTTTCAATCTTTAAATTCTATTATAAAGTTTAAATTTATGAAATATTATAATTAGAACAATACACTCACAGAGAAAATTAAAACTATGATGGTAGTCAGCCAATTTATCCAAAGAAGATTAAACATTGATAAAATTAATGAATAGTTTATATTAATAATATATAAAAAGTACATATTTTTAAAAATAAAAATTTCCCAAGTTTTGGACCTTAGGAAAAGTCGTCTCTGCATGATACAGACAACCGTTTCTTATAGACCAACTGAGTACATTGACTTGGGAGTCTCGAGTTTCCAATCAGTAGACTTTGTTTAAACAATGTTTCAACTTTGCAAACTGTTGTTTCGTACTCTCACTACGCCTACCTTAAAGTATTTCTGATCTTGCTACTTTTCTTCTCTCAAATAACGTGTTAAACTTGAACGTTGTTTCAGAGAGAAACTAAACTGGTCAGTCCAATTGTCCTGTTTACTTCTTTTATAATTGTCACAAGACTCACAACCTCCCCCAACACACCACCACTGTGTGATTTGTAGCAAGTGACATGTATCCTTTTCCACAACCAACCTCTCAGGTTGCATTTTTTACACTAAATGTATCCTTCTCACTTGTTTCTTTATATGCCAATCATATAAACAAGTAGCATGTTCCCCCAGATGCTGTAAAGCATTCCTGTGTTCACACAATCCAGGTTGATTTTTCCTTTGATCTATCAATCACCATCTATGTATGTAGCTGAAGTGCATAGTTCTTGAAGGGGTACAACTTAAAGAACGTTATGTCTTTTATGAGAATCATTTTCCTTTGTTATCATACACTTGTCTGTCTTTCTAAAATTTCCTTGGCAGTTGAGTCCATTTCTCAAGACCTGTCCCTAAGTGATGATGGCAATGACACCACCTTAGTCTCCAAAGATGGAACCTTTGAACTTGGATTCTTCACCCCAGGAAACTCCCAGAAACGTTACCTGGGGATTTGGTACAGGAAAATCCCTATTCAGACTGTGGTTTGGGTTGCAAACAGGCTCAATCCAATCAATGATTCATCTGGCATCTTGAGAATGAACACCACCACTGGGAGCCTTGTCTTAACACAGAATAATACTGTTGTTTGGTCTACAACCTCTTTGAGAAAGCCAGAGAATCCAGTGGCCATTCTATTAGATTCTGGCAATCTTGTGGTAAGAGATGAGAGAGATTCAAACCCTGAGGCCTACTTGTGGCAGAGTTTTGACTACCCAACTGACACCTTCTTACCTGACATGAAGTTTGGTTGGAACTTGAGAACTGGTTTAAATAGGAACATAACTGCATGGAAGAGTCCTGATGATCCATCTCCTAGTGACTTCTCTTTTGGTATGGTGTTGCATAACTATCCTGAGGCCTATATGATGAAGGGGGACCAAAAGTTCTACCGAAGTGGACCATGGAATGGCTTGCATTCAAGTGGTTCACCACAAGTAAGGGCCAACCCCATTTATGACTTCAAGTTTGTTTTCAACAAGGATGAAGTTTACTACACATACAATCTTAAGAACTCGTCTATGATCTCAAGGCTGGTGTTGAATGGAACAAGCTACGTTCGTAGGCGTTATGTGTGGATTGAATCAAAGAAAAGATGGGAGGTCTACACATCAGTGCCATTGGACTTGTGTGACAGCTATGCCCTTTGTGGAGCTAATGCAAATTGTGTTATTTCAGATTCACCAATTTGCCAATGCTTGAAAGGGTTCAATCCCAAGTCACCTCAGTCATGGAACTCAATGGATTGGTCTCATGGATGTGTCCGAAATAAGGAATTAAGCTGTGAGGATAAGCACAAAGATGGATTTATCAAATTAACTGAGCTGAAAACACCTGACACTACACATACTTGGCTGGATCAGACAATTGGGTTAGAGGAATGCAGAGCTAAGTGCTTGGATAACTGTTCTTGTATGGCTTATGCGAATTCTGATATCAGTGGAGAAGGAATTGGCTGTGCCATGTGGTTTGGTGATCTAATTGATATTAGACAGTTTGCAGCAGGAGGGCAGGACCTATATGTTCGAATGGATGCTTCAGAGTTAGGTAGGAACATAGCTTTGCTACTTACTAGTCCTCCTTCAAAAAGTTTCTTAGCTAGAATAAATTTCATATGTGAATATTAATGTTACCTTTGGAATTTTTTGATCAAATATAACTAGAACATGCCATTGAGGGTCACAAGAAGGGGGGAATCATAGTGGCAGTGATGGTTTCTTTGGCTGTGGCAGTGGTTTCTGGCATACTAATATTACTTGGCTGGTGTTATAGAAAGAAATCACGCACTATTGTAAAAGGTAACATTACAATTTTTGTTCCTCTTCTCGAAAGGAAACTGACGTCTATTTTGCTTCATTAATGTTCATAGTATTGTATTAGATGTATGTGTATTATTTGACAACCAATTTGGATTGCAATAAGTTTGTGGAATTCAGACCGAAATAACAGGACAAAAAGTTTTATGGACCTTGAAAAGTCATGAGAGACACTTATTATGAATCCCTCCTTGAATGGAGGATTAGGTCGCTATTTATGATTGCAACCAATTGACACATCTATTATTCGTGGATTTTATTTTTCAATTTTTTTTTCTGGCTATTGTGTTGGAATAGGTAAATCAACATGAACTTTTAATTGAATGTCTCAAAAGTAATTTGGTTAGAATTGAAACTCTTTTTTCTGTGTATAGTTTCCATTTTTTTTTCTTGTTTTCAGTTTGCTAATTCCTTGCATCCAGTTGGAGGTACTAGCCTTCACATTTCTTTCATTATTTGTTTGCATTTGGAGAGAAGGGGTTAAGTGGAATAACATAAAGTAGGTGTTATGAATTTTCCATTTTATGAGGAGATGAAATTTTAGTCCTTTCAAAAATTAAAAAAAAAAAATTGTAATGCTTATCACAATCTGAAACCACCCACTTATACTATGTCAGAGAGATTAGACTTCAGTATCAAAGCAGATAAAAACAGTGGAATGCAAGTGGACGATATGGATCTACCAGTCTTTGACTTGTCAACAATAGCTAAAGCCACTAGCAACTTTACAACCAAGAACAAAATTGGAGAAGGTGGTTTTGGACCTGTATATAGGGTAATTTGTTTATAGATTGTTATGACATTTAGAATTAAGGAGGAAAAGTAAATTGAATAGTTCTATAATTTAAATTTTCTGGGAATTCTAGCAGATGGGCTGGAAATTGCTGTGAAGAGGCTTTCAACAAGCTCAGGACAAGGATTGACTGAATTCAAGAATGAAGTAAAATTGATTGCAAAACTTCAACACCGTAATCTTGTAAAGCTTCTTGGATGTTGCCTTGAAGGAGAGGAACAAATGTTGGTCTATGAATACATGCTTAATGGTAGCCTGGACTCATTTATTTTTGGTATGGATCCAACAAAGGAAATTTATTTTTATCAAGTGGTCATGATTAGTTTCATGATTTGAGTATACCTTAATTGCTTCCCACACTAGAACATTCTTTTAATACCTTAAAATCAAATCGATTAACTTATGTGATGGAAATGTGGCAGATGAACAAAGAAGAGAATCACTAGACTGGTCAAAGCGCTACAATATTATATGTGGAATCGCCAAGGGCCTTCTTTATCTTCATCAGGATTCTAGACTAAGGATCATTCATAGAGATCTCAAAGCAAGTAATGTTTTACTTGATAGTGAGTTGAATCCCAAAATTTCAGATTTTGGCTTGGCTAGAATTTTTGGTGGAGATCAGAAAGAAGGAAACACAAAGAGAATAGTAGGGACTTAGTAAGTGAATAATATTTTTTCCAATCAAGCTGAATTCAATTTCCTCCTAGTTAAGGTCTTAAGAGCTTCATTTCCAAATATGTTCTGCAGTGGTTACATGGCACCTGAATATGCAACTGATGGACTATTTTCGGTGAAATCTGATGTTTTCAGCTTTGGAGTTTTATTGATGGAGATTATATCTGGGAAGAGAAGTAGAGGATATTATAATCAGAACCACATCCATAATCTCATAGGCTATGTAAGTATAGAGAGACAAATTGTAAATTCACATGTATCAAACAAGTGTGTATCCTTTATGACAAGCAATTTTAATGTCTTTCAGGCATGGAAACTATGGAAAGAAGGAAGAACACTAGAACTGATTGATAAAAGCATAGAACACTCTAGTTTTCTATCACAAATGTTGCATTGCATTCATGTGAGTCTCTTGTGTGTTCAACAGCATCCAGAGGATAGACCTGGAATGTCTTGTGTGCTTCTAATGTTAGTGAGTGAGCTTGAATTGCCTGAGCCAAAAGAGCCAGGATTCTTTGGAAAATATTCAGGTGAAGCAGATTCCTCCACAAGTAAGCAGAAACAAGGTTCGACAAATGAAATAACCATTACCTTATTAGAAGCCCGTTGATATTCTTTGCCAGTCACATCCATCATCCACCTTGCATAGATATGCATAATATTGTATTAAATTAACTCAAGGTCTAGGACTATATTCTCTCTCACTCTTTGATGGAATTCAAGAAGAATTAGAAGGCTTAAACTCATATATTTTATTCATACTTGTAACCTTTTAAATACATAATTGAAAGTTGATACAAATTCTGCTCATAAACATAAAATTAAATGACAAATATAAATACTCATAAAAGTGTAACAGCACCTATAATTCCTATAATTAAAAAATCATAACCGTAAAAATTCTAATAATGCTCCATTAATATGAAATAAACTCAAATAATAGATGCTGATTCAGATTCTCAACACTCCTCCTTGAATCAGTAGCTATTAACTCGAAATTTCCCTCTCAAGTTCTCAAACTTTCCTTTTGGAAGTGCCTTTGTAAAGATGTTTACCAATTGATCTTTTATCATTCAATCTAACTCCTTCTCCTGTCTTTGAATACCATTTGTTGGAATTTGTCATATCAAATACATCTTGCATAAAAGTGTGACCAAATCTTCCATGCCAAACATTACTCTCATCAATTTTAGTAATAAAATCATGATCTTCAACCAAATCAAATTTCAAATAAAAATCATTTTTTGTCATCTCAATCTCACATTGATTCCATGATTTATGCAAGATTAAGGATGGATTGAGGGCAAAGGGTTTTGGTTGGGGTTTCTTCATGATTTCCACGAATTAGTGGTTAAGACTTGATTTCATTGCTTAATATGTTGTTTTTGGATAGTATTTATGCTTTGTAATGATTTGAACTCGTGTAATTTGAATTGGATTCATGTTGGGAAGAAATTTTC